TCGACTCAGGAATGTTAGCTCTATGCGCTCATAGCGGCAAAACACGGTACTATAAAAGCCCTGCCCACAAAAAAAAAAAATAGTTCGGTTTCTTTTGGGTACCCCATCATATATTTCAAACAGTTCTTAACATCATTTGTGGTTGCCTGTCTCAAAATTTCCACAGTCCATGGATGGTTTGTAGATTCTCACTTGAGGAACACCTATTTGTAATGGAAAAAGTTCGAAAGAAACACTGCTGCTCTCCCAGTATTTGAGAATATGAGAACTTTATATTTGTAATTTTGTAATGCTGAGTGTGCATGCGCCTGCATAGTGTAATAATTTTAATGTATGAAAGTTTGTGGTGTTCTGGGTTATGACATCATATAGTTTCATTGGTAGTTACTACCATTTCCAGAGACAAGCTGCTTGTTCTTCTGTAACACTGGTAAACCATCTGTGGAACTGGATGGTGTGATAGTCATATCTTTATTTGTTCCAGAAATCCATACAGCATTACTGGGGTTTTGGACTTTTACCATCGTCTGGAATTCTAGGTAATAGAGGACACGATGTTTCAGAAACTGAATCTGTTTCTATCTTCAGGTGAGAAAGGAAGAGACCTACTCAGTTGGGCCCCTAAAAGGAGCTAATCTCAATCACTGGACCAGGAAGACAGAAACAGATCCAGTTTCTGAAACATCGTGTCCTCTTATTACCTAGAGTGTCCTCTATTACCTAGAATTCCGGACGATGGAAAAAGTCCAAAGCCCCAGTAATTCTCTGTGTCATCCACCATCGTTAGAACCCTTTAGAATTTACCAGAAATCCATATTTGGCGATATAGCCAGAAGACCACTATCATATTTTTTTACTGTCATGAAAACCTCAAAACTTGTATAACTTTGTTATGCATTTAAGGTTTTGGATCTTGTAACTTGCTAGATACACTTCAGAGATTGCATAGGTTCAGATGGGGAATGGCATGTATGATTTGCAGGTGGGAACATTTGAAGTCATGTCACAGAATTCATGTAGAGGGAGTACAGAAAACTAGGATTTCAAGATAAATATCTGTAGGTGAGATTAAATGTGAATAACTGTCAGACATGAACTTGCTGCATGACATTGTCAGTCTCGTGTGTTTATTTCATTTCATATTGTTTCCTGCACAGTCTACTGCATTTAGGATTGATTTTATGACAGTTAATTTGTAAATAACTTATATAACATTCACAAGTAGAGCTTTCAGTACTAGTAAAAGTGCATGAACCTTTCCTAAATGTGTGTTTATAAATGCAAATTCTTGCAAATTTTATTTAGTTTCTGACATTTGATTAATCTCTGTTATGCACTGAACTGTATGTGTAGTCTTTCCAGCAGTTAACGGTGAGCGTGATTCTGTGTCAGGTGACTCTGCGTCTTGTGTGGGTGCTGAAGAATGTGGAAGCACTTCAGAAGGCTGCAAAATGCCATCAGGCCATGTTCGGTACCATAGACACATGGCTCTTGTACAGGCTGACGGGGGGCAAGTTTCATGTCACTGATGTGTCCAGTGCAAGTGCAACTGGCTTCTACGATCCATTTGTAATGGAATGGTGTGACTGGGTGCTCAGACTCTTCTGCATTCCCTCTGACATGCTCCCAGAAGTGTGGGACACTGCCTGTGACTTCGGATGCATCACCACCGATATAGTGGAAGCTGCTATACCCATTCGCAGCCTGGTATGTTGCCTGGCCAGAAATAATTGACCCTTTACCTGTCGATGAAACAGTAGGCACACAAAACAGATTCTGCCATCCCTCATATAATCCCATTTGACCAAACCTCAGTGGCTGATTTCCTATTGCATGTAATTCATATGACTTTCATGGGTTATAGTTGCAGTACAAAGAAGATGGTTTCATGCCTTGTAGTGGTTGTCACATGACTACCAGCTGGGATAGAAAACAGACCGGGGGGGGGGNAGGCCGTGGAGGCCCATAGGGTTGTGAGATGTTCAGGTTCCCACATTTTCTAGACAGTCGGCTCGTAGATGGCGGTAAGGTCAGCCCTACGTGCCAGCCAGGAAAGCAGTAGTCTTGCTGCAGTGAAATTACTTTGTGTTTTGTGCACTGCGGTGCAGTATGCTGTCTGTTGGCTTGTCCCCTGTAAAGCATCATGACATGCTTGCAGGACTAATATCAACATCATAGTCTCACACAGTGTAAGATATACCAGAGTACATGTATCTCACTCTGAATAGCATTTGTTAATATGTGTGCTTGAGGAGTGATATGCTTCTTTGCATGGATCATTTTGCTTGTGGATGTTGCTACTGTCATCTGGCATTTTGTACATAGCCTGTATCACAGAGCTTAGCAGTAATTGGCTGAGTCAATTTAGGCATTTAAATTTGTCATTTCTGAAAAAGATTAAAGAATTATATTACAGATTTCCTGATATTGACCTCAGGAATGGTTTGCAGGGAGTTTGTAAGCTGAGAGGCAATATCTCGTGTGAAATGGTTCGATATTATACCATTGTGGACCAGTATGTTTAAAATATTTACGTATAACACAGTAAAAACTGCTACATAATGCAGGAAGCATTAGAAATTGATCCCCTTTTTCTGTATACATTTATTGCACCATTAACCCATAGACATATCACTTAATTTTGTCTTCTCAGAATACTTACATGAAATTAATTTAGAGGTTTTAAAATAAGTGCCACATTATTGTAACACAACATCTTTGTAAATGTATTTCATCTGTTGCCCAGCATGTCAACTCTTTTACCTCTGGTCCATAGATGTTTTGCTTTTACCGGAGATGGTGGTATCAGCATTATTGTGCAGACATATGGCAGCCATTATTGTATGCCATTGATGTGTACTCAAATTAGAGAAATATGTGTGACTTTATTTTCTCTGGGGTAAAGTGGCAAGGGCATGAAGCTGACCACTTGACTCAATCTAGTGCTTAGGTCAAGAATGATGGAGCTATACCTTCACTCCCACTTACATCATGGCATATTGCTTAATTTATTAAGTACAGGAGTAATTTTACCTTTTAACTTTTATGTGGGACTCTTTTATTTGGCAAGCAGGAACCTCATACAAAACATTGAAATACTATGCTACAAGCTGGAAGGTTGCGGGTTCAAATCCCGATGAGGTTGTTAGATTTTTCCAATTGACCTAATCCTTCCAGGCATGCTATGGCCCTGGGGTTTACTCAGCCTCTAACAGAAATGAGTACCAGGAATTAATTAAATAATTTTCATGGGGAGTAAAGCACGGCCGGTGCATAAGGCTGACAACCTTACCGCCATCTTTGAGCCGATTGTCTAGATAATCTCACAACCCTATGGGCCTTCACGGCCTGTTGCAGGGATAGCTTTACTTTACTTTTTTTTTTACATCTTAGTGCATGTAATAATGGGTATTGGAGCATGCTCAGTGTTTCAACTTGATTGATGGCTGCAAGCATGATAACAAGCATGAGAGATACTTCCATATGAGAACTGGACTTCTCTGAGTTGCTCACTTCACACAGGTGGCCGATCAAGCAGCGTCTTTGTTTGGCTCTTGTTGCTTTGAAGAGGGTGATGTCAAGGTCACCATGGGAACAGGGACATTCCTGAATGTAAACACAGGATACAAGCCCCAAGCCTCAGTGGCAGGTAAGGTTATGTTCACTTATGTAAAAGCCAGTTCATATTTGTCTCCAGGATATTGCTACCCTTATTTATATTGTAACCATAACATTAATACTTTGGCTGTTACACGATAATGATGACAATTGTCAGATTTTATGTGTATGTTGTTACAAACAGTTTTCTGGTAGTGTATAATGCTGTGGTTCAAAGAAAGTCAATTTGATTTAAAGAATTAATTGTTCTGCTGGTAAATACATATCATATTCTCATTATGGCACCATCTGGCAGCTATAAGCAGGAAAAATGTGGGAATGGATTGTGTTATTTTTTTAAGATGAAAAATTTGATTGTTGTGTGAAGTTAATGAATTTGAAGAGCTAATTAATACATTTATAAAATTTAAAAATAGAGTATAGTGATACCATATTCATTTAAATATAGGCAGGAAGAGCAAGTCCCATGTACAGAACATGTTAGAGATTAGTTTCCACTTTTGTTTCAGGTCTGTACCCACAGATTGGCTGGCGTGTGGTAGATGAAATTGTGTTCATAATGGAAGGTGCCTCACATGACACTGGTTCTCTAATAAATTGGGCACAACAAATAGGTAACATTATTTTGTACAAAACTTCATTATTTGCTGGGATAACACATATATTTTCTTGAAATTATTCTTTTAGATCTCATGCATAGATTTTTAATCATTCTGTCAAACAGTGGACTTGCCATGCTGAAAGGAAATAAAACTGACATCAAGGTATTGCAATGCAGTACTTAAGAACAGTGATCTTCTGAGATGTAGTGCTGTGTAATTTGGTAGATAGGTATCTGGAGATATTTGGAGGAACCTTCTGAGTCAGTCTTTAGGGTAGAAGAAGTGAAGATGGAGGCAGAGAGTTCCTCCAAAAGATTGGTATCTATTTACCATACTACACAGTGTTATATTCCAAAAGATCATAATCTTGATATTCACCACAGTGCAAACCTCATTTTATGAAAGATGCAGCTAACTTGCATTTGATGTTGTAATGAAATGAACCCTTTATGCTGTTCATAAATGTTGCTTTTCTGAGACCCTGTCTTAAAACTGTATACTAAAACATTCTGTATGTTTTATAGTAGGAAGCAGTCAGAAAGCAAGAGGGAAAGATTATGTTCAATGGAGTGATCTGTATTTGGAAGTCTGAAGGACATAACTAAAATATTTGCTATAACATTTGCTGAATTTTTTTCATTGTATGAATAAAATATACTATTATGTCAAATATATGAAACTCTTGAGGAAATTACATAATGAGGAGCTTAATAATTCATATTATGTTGCCAGATTTGTTCAAGATTCAAGACATATAATTCTGGATAAAGAGTAAACACATTCAGAAATCTGGCAAGAAGTATTCTGGAAAGAGCCATTTTGGAGACCGAACCATTGAGGGAAGAACAGTTATAAAGTGGGTCTTGAGGATATTGGCTTTAATAACATGGATTGGAGTATGACTCATGATAAGCGAAAGTGGTCGGTACTTGAATCTGTGAAAGCCTTGGTGCTTCTGTGTAATTCACAGTTCCTGTTAGTTTGTGAGCAGAGTGATGGAATTAAATGGGGTTATTGTGTTCACATTCTGAAATTAAAGGTTCACTTTTCACTGCATGCTTGGCTGTAACTATGATTATGAGCGGCCTCCATAGTCTAGAGGTAACGTTCCCACTTCATGACTCGTAGTACGCGGGTTCAAATACCCGGCGGAGGTTGTTGAATTTTTAAGGGCGGAAAAATTCAGGGAACAAGTCCTCCGGGAGGGACTTTAGGCTGTGGGTCCCATGTTGTAGCTTTACGGCACGTAAAAGAACCTCATATCTCCAAAGGAGGTCACTGAGCCAAATTAACGGACGTTTCCCGCCCAACAGCAGTCTCTAATACCTCTGCTAGATGGGGGAAGCATTATAGATACCTCTCAGCTAGTAGAGCCGGTCTCGCTGGCTGGGCAGGACTGATGGTAAGCAGTACCGGTAGGATATAGAGACTGGTAGAAATCATAGAGGGAAGCACAATGAACCAATACAGGTCTCAGTGCATCGGGAAACCCACCCTCTCCAATAACTAACTAACTGTGATTATGTACATACATTCTTTGTTCTGCAGGTTTGTTTTCTGAACCTACTGACTCTGCTGACATGGCTAATTCAGTTCAGAACTCAAATGGACTTTGCTTCATACCTGCATTTAATGGAATTCAGGTAAACTAAACTGCCAGTAATATATATGCAAATGGATCTGACTGAAGTACATTTTAGTTCGTTCACTCTGAGATTATAAATGAAAGGTTGAACAAAGTCATTACTAAGGCCGTCCACCTATGGGTATGTCCCTAATGTCCTCACAACACATTCATTAGAAGTTAATTTCAATATTCTCACATCTTCTTGGCCTTCTGAATGGATGCCTTCCAAGATGTTTCTCCCCATCAAAATTCTTGGTGAATTTGTATATCTCCACAAGATTATTACAGCTGGTTATGCTAGTCTTGCTGAAAACTTTGATTTGAAACATATTTTTCTTGTTCATAGGCTCCATTATCATTGCCCTAAAACTGTTTGATTTCTTCCTGTTTTCTTCTTTATATATATATATATATATATATTGGATTGGTCATATCTTACGCAGTAACTGCCTTCTAAAAGAAGTTATTGAAGGAAAGATAGAGGGGCAGATAGAAATGACCAGAAGACAAGGAAGAAGATGTAAGAAGATGCTGGATGACCTTGGGGACAGAAGAGGATATTCTCATTTGAAGGAGAAAGCTCTAGATCGCATTAAGTGGAGGAACTGTTTTGGAAGAGACTGTGGACCTGTCGTCTGAGAGATTACTGAAGATTGAATGAATTATAAAGCTAGAAGAGCATTTGAAAATAAGAGAGGTCATATAGGATGGATAGTTGGGTAGGGTCCAGAAGTAATGTATAAATGTTGTATTGCATCATCATGTTGTGCTGTATTTGCAATTGTTTATTTCCATCAACATACTCCTTTTGGTATCGATGTATTTACTACAGTCTGGCCTTTTCGCCCTTTGTGAGGCGATATACATTCAATGTTGACTGCTATTCCTTGATGCTGCCATTGCTTACATTCGGTATGTATGTATTTTGGGCCCCTTTACCTGATGATGGCCAAAAGGTGAAAACGTGCAACATTTAATACTTATCATAGAGTATATATAGAGAAAAAATTGTGTAGACAGAAATAAATGCAGTTGACAGATAATATTTATTTTCACATTGCTTTACATCCAATTGTAAGCAGTTGTGCTCAAAATATAACAGTATGCATTTTTAAAGTCTAGCATGTTGTAACCCTTGTAAGGTCATCATATGGAGATCATTTGCTGTTAACATAAGTAAGTACTGATTACTGCATGTACTTATGTAATTTACACACACGCACATCTCAGAAGTCTTTAAGTTGTGGTGTCTGAAATATCTGAACACTGATGACAAGAGTATGAGTGTACACGTTAGGTTAATGCAGTTACAGTTACATGTCATGTGGCAATGGTATGGATTTTTGTGCCTGTGGACACCTGCAGCTGATTGCTTGATAATAATGCCCCTTAATAAAAGTTTGACCAACACACTTTTTATGGAAAATGTAATACGGCAACACGGTTAGGTTACTCATGACTATTTACTCCACCATTGTGATTCCTTAATGAATGTTGAGATGAAAATTCCCCGTGATAAAATTTTTAGGTTCTTAACCATAATGGAAAATGTAATTAAAGTTGAATTGTATGTGACAATAAAACCTAATGTGATCCATTGATTTCTATTGAAACTAAAATTCCCCATGATTATTGCCATTCAAATTTCTCATCTAATAGTGTGCATAAATAATGTAAGTGTTGTAATTTGATGTTTATAATTGTAGTGTATATATATAAAAGTAAAAAAATGAAAGGTATCCCTGTAACAGGCTGTGTAGGCCCATATGATTGTGCGATGTTGAAGTTCCCTTATATTCTAGACAATTGGCTCATAGATGGCAGCAAGGTTGTCAGCCCTATGCGCTAGCCGCCCTTTACCCCTGAGAACATTCCAAGAATATTCCTGGTACTCATTTCTGTTAGAAGTTGAGTCAACCCCCGGGCTGTAGTGCAGCTGGAAGGATTAGGTAAATTGAAAAAAATCCAATGACTTCATTGGGACTTGAACTCGCGACCTTCCGGCTTGTAGCATAGTCCCTCAACCAACTATGCTACCACGTGTCCCAAATATATATAAGTCCTTGTTGAGTTGAGAAAGCCAAGAAAAGTATATACAAGAGAAATATTTATCCCTCATGGGGACTGAAAAGATTTTTGTGTAGTGATGTGGCAGAGGAAGACTGGCAACACTGCATTGCATTGCTTTCTGTGCTTGATAGAGCTGTTACTGAGAAGGTGCATTTATCACAGGTCCCAATCAACAATTTCCAAGCTGCAGCTGGGTTTATTGGCATTAAGCCCACAACAAGCCGCCAGCACATGGTGCGTGCCATCTTGGAGAGTATCGTGTTCAGAGTGGTGCAGCTGTACCAGGCTCTTCTAAGAGAAGTCAAGAATCATTACACCTGCATCAAGTTGGTCACTATGAGGAATACTTATCCAAATCTGCATAACTTAGTAGAGAAACAAAACAGTATCTAGTGTGGAACATACACTCCATTGCCTCAGACATTTGCCATTGTCATTAATTTTGCTGCTTTTAGTGTACTGTGCTACACAGGGCTCCAGAAATATGATCATCCACTCACCACAGCATGTTAACATAGACCGGTAGCAAGTATAAAAATATTTCTTTGAAGCATTGTACTAGTTTGTTGTCGGAGTATATCTTCTTAAGTGACTAGTAAATTTAAATTGTATTTCTGGACCCCTGGTACTACAGACATTTTTGTGAACAATGTCATTACTCTAATAGCAAAATTCCAAGGACTTTATATAGAACATGATATTGTTTAAATTGATGCTATTCCTGTCAGTAGGCCAGTTTTGCTGATGAGATACCTTATTTCATTCTGCCAGTATGCCTGGATTTTTAGACATGACAAACTTATGCAAAATATTTCATTCTTTATGCATTATGCTTCGTGTATTTGGTGTAGATGTCTCTTGTGTTAAATTTTTACAAAACAGCCTCATATTTCTTGCAGAACTATACTTAGGACTGGAACTATTACAACTGGACCTCTCCAAACTTTTCTGATGTTTTTTTGGTGGGGGTTCAGAATATTCTGATTGCATAACAACATTTTTTAAAGGGTTCAATATCTGTTAGGGAAGAAATGTACTATATAACCAGTTAATTACCCGATTCTCTAAAGGTTTGGGACAAATGTCTGTTCATTATACTTATCATGTTAGACATTGTCATCACATGTGATGTCTTGGAAACTGGACCGGTTTGTTTCACAAATTTGAGAGGTGATCCTACTCTGCTGGACCCCTTAATTTAGTTAATCTCAATCCCCAGTCACTGGACAACAAAACAAGTTCCAAGCAGCTTATACAGGGAGTTTTAGGAAAAAGCTGTGAAGTTTAAGGAGGTTATTTGTCAAGTTATTTTGAATATACAATTTCTTTATCAAAACCGTCACAACACAATTATATCAATGTCAGTGCCAAGTTTGGCTCTGCTACACGTTTCGGCTACTAAAAGCCATCATCAGGAAAATACGTGGCCAACATATATACACCACTGAACTGCAGTACCAGTAAAATTGGATACAATAATATTAATTATATTAAAATACTTGGCGTATTATGGGTATTGTTTGTTCTCAGTATAGTGATAAAATTGGGTTCTGTATGGATGCTAATTTCCTGTAAACCTGCTTATTTGAACTACACTGCATCTTACATTTACACTACATTCATTGGTACAAATGGTCAAATAGTGTGCCTTCAGCATCAGTACATATCTGAGGTTCATGTATCAATGAATCAGTGCTTCTTCCAAGAACATCAGGCTTGTCCCCAATTTGTTCTGCAGCATCAAATAGTCTATGAAGCAGTGGATCTCTTGAGTTAGTTTTCTGCCTATACACCATTGTTTTCATATATCCCCAAAAATAGCAGTCATGAGGATGGAAATCTCATGACCAGGAAATTGGACCACCTCTGCCACCTCTCTGACATTCAGGGTGGGTGTCATTGTCACCTTTCGACTGAAATATGGATAAGCTGCATCATGTTGAACATATATATGTCATTTCATCAGGGGAATGTCTCTAAAAGGACTCACAGTTCATTTTTAACAAAGTTTATGCATTTTCCCCCCTGTAAGATGGCATTCTTACCCATTGTGACAATGACATGTGGTCACATGACTTTTTATTCAGAATTGCTTGATTAATAACTTCCAGTTTGGCCACTCCCTACCAGGACATCTGTGGTCTGCTGGAAGATAAGGATAGAATGAGAAGTGGATCAAGTTTCAAGGACATAGTGATTTTAGATGTATCCCAGATGACTGTCAGTGCCCAACATAATATTTACATAATAATTAGTTACTTGTTTAATTAAGTTGTAGCTGGGATAGCATAGTATAGCAACTGGCTATGGGCAGGATGACCAAGGTGTCAGGAGTTTGAGTCCCAATAGGGTCTAGAAATTTCTGCACATTGTCAGCACTGATTCTGGGGCCCACCCAGCCTCCTATCCAGTGGACAATGGGGGGGGGGGTCTTTCTCCTGGGGTAAAGTGGCTGAGGCATGAAGCTGACCACTCACCTCCAACTAGTGCCAAGGTCAAGAAAATATGGATCTATACATCCACTCCCCCATACATCCTTATGGTATAGTGTTTAATTAGTTAAGGCAAGGGACAACTTTACCTTTTATATATGATGGCTGTATTTTTGACACATCCAAGTTGCTGCTGGTTATGGATGATATTGCTTGTTTTTGTTCCGGCAGTCAGCAGCCTTAGCTATATAGAACAATTCTTAAGTTTTATACAGTCAGCTTCATTCTCTAATCCAACATTTGGTTCTGTTTTTTCTCTCTTTGGACTAGAGTGGATGGTGGCGTCTCTCGGAACGACTTTGTGGACCAGTTGTTGGCTGACCTCACAGGTTTGAAGGTGGAGAGACCAAAATCTTCTGAAATGACTGCGTTAGGTGCTGCTTTTCTTGCTGGTCTTTATGAAGGTATGGATCCCATGACCATCCCCCTTTGTTTTCCTCTGCTGCAGTCTATAATTGCCTCCTTAGCATGTATCGTTCCGTTTTTCTGTCCCTGTAACTTCACACTTCAGTATAACAGACCCACTTAACTGATTTTCGTTAAATTCAGTATGAACATTATACTGTAGATTTCCCTGTGTTCGTATTTTTAAATTCTTCAGAAACCACCAAAATGGTGACCATGAAAAATTATATGTTGGGAAAACCAAAGCTCTATTTAGTGTAGGTTCTTCAAGATTTGTTATGATGCTGTATCTCTGAAAAGTATGGAACTTCATTAATTTTTTCTTGTGGGACTGATAGCATTTGTAAATATTTGTTACAACTTGTGCACCTCTTTTCTCTTGTAGAATTATGATTGATTGTCTTTTCTCATGTAGCCAAGTTCACTGAGTATTTTGACTGGGCTACAGACTGGTTGACACAGGACTCAGGATTAAATTCCCAGAAGGGTAGAAGATTTTCTCTTCTCCATAGCATCACAGTCTCGTACGTAGTGGTTACTAGGTGCTCTTTACCCAGGAGTAAAGCAGCCAATGTGTGAGGCTGACCCTTCACCTGCATTTAATGTTAGGGTCAAGAATGCAGCTCCCCCATATGTCTTCATGGCCTTGTGCTTAATTAAGCACATGAACAACCTTTCCTAACCTACCTAACAGACATAATTGCAACAGGTGTGTGGCAGTCCAAAGATGAGCTGCGTATGCTGCGACAAGTGGACCGAGTGTTTGAGCCAAGAGCAAATGTATGTGAGGAATATGACAGCATTTTGACACTGTGGAGTCAAGCACTGCATCGTTTCCTAGACTGGTATGATACATAATACAAACAAAAGACAATCTGTGTCTCATTCCAAATGTGGTGCAGTATGAACATATAATCTTGGGAAATTTTTCCTAACAAGTACACAGGACTCATGCTATATAATTTTGATACTGAGAGCATCATTAAATAACTTGCAAAAAACTATAGAAGAACACTGAAATGAGTACTCAGCTGTTTATACAGTCCCATGGAAATAAAACACCATTTTATTATATATACTTCAGTCAGATAAGATTGTTAGTAAAGTATTGGGCCGCCATTGAAATTTATGTCTTCATATACAGAGGGGTCCAAAAAAATGTACTCACTCTTTGATAGTCAATATCTTTGGAACAAAATGACATGTAGTTACAATTCTTGTGTGGAGAGAGAGAGAGAGAGAGAGACATTGTATGTGTTCGAAGTGACTGCCATCGGTGGCTAAACAGTGTTGATGCCGCAGAACTACTGAGCGTAATACTGCTGTCAGTGTGTCCAGTGTGATGGCTGCACATGACGCTTCAATGGTTTCTCGTGGCATGTTCAGTGTAGCTTTTGTTGGTGAACTTCATCCTTCAAGGTTCCCCATAGATAGAAGTCAAGAGGTGTTAGGTCTGGAGACTGTGGTGGGTACTCAGTAGCACCTCTTCGACCTATCCATCGTCCAGGTAGTGTCATCCAAGTACGCCCTGACATCTCGATGGTAGTGATGTGGAGCACCATTTTGTTGTAGGTAAAATCTCTCATTGCCAAACAGCTCTCGAATGGCAGGGAAAATCAATGTCCGAAGCATATCGAGATACACCTGACCAGTTATGGTACCTTCAAACAACAAAGGACCAATCAGACTGCGCAATGACAGACCACACCACACATTAACACCCGGTAGATTCACTTCCTAGCCCAAATTTATCCCAAATATGGGCAATTGTTCGACGTGCTGGTGGCTGAGTTCCAAATTCATTCTGCCATTGTTGTTGTACATCTTCAATATTTTTGTACTTCCAGTACCACTTTGGTACAGCCTTGCGTTGCTCAAAGAATAACCTTCCACCCATTGTTGCTGCTGTCTTCTGCTCGCAGGGCACACGTGGCACAACACTCACGTGACCTTCGACATCTGTTGAGAAAACATTACACTCCACTACTGTGCAAGAATTGTAACTACATGTCATTTTCTTCCAAAGATATTAGCTATCAAAGAGTGAGTACATTTTTGGACTTCCCTGTATTTAACTTTTAACCACTGTGCATTGCATTTTTACATTGTCTTGTGTGGTCTTGTGTGATCTCTCCCTCCCAATATTAATTTAAAATCCCCTATTCACAGGCAGTGAACTGCCACTGCCTTGTGAATTACAGCTTGGCTGCGAACCGCATAGCATCAGAAATTGAAATCTCTATTTCCAGGTGGAACAAGTTAATCACATGCAACATGTAAGTAAGTAAAGGTATCCCTACACCTGGCCGTGGAGGCCCATAGGGTTGTGAGATGTTGAGGTTCCCACATTTTCTATACCATCGGCTCATAGATGGCGGTATGGTTGTCAGCCTTACGCCCCAGCTACCCTTTACCCCCAAGAATATTCCTGTTAGAGGCTGAGTTGACCCCAGGGCCATAGTGCGGCTGGAAGGATTAGGTAAACTGAAATAAATCCAATTTCTTCATTAAAATCCATCACAACACAACAATATAAAGGTCAAGGCCAAGAATTAAATCCACCTCATTGGGAATCAATCTGGCAACCTTCTGGCTTGTAGCATAGTGCCTCAACCAACTACACTGCATGGACCTGATCCTTGGTTAGTAACTTAAAAAATATATATTAGGTATTTTTTTCGTCTGTCCTTAATATAAGTTCCATAAGAAAGTTAACTCATTGTCACATAACATTGCTTCTGAAAATGTCAGCCACTGTTGAAAGAGCAGTACGTTGTTGAAGACATTCTGTATTACACTTATATTATATGCTTTTCTGTGATATTTCTCTAACCAAAGAATGCATTTTATTTATTTTTCACTACAGGACCTGTTCCCATTTAATATAGCTTGCAATGGCAAGCAGAGTGCCAGCAAGGAAGTCTTCCAGGGGTTATGATAGTGTACCTCCATTATGATTCAGTAGGAACATGAATTATATAGCAGTTTCTCTAAATATGACCCCTTCAGGTTTCATATACAGTTGTCAACACACCAGTATATCAGATACGTTCAAAGATTATCAATTAACAGTGCATCACATTTGGAATGGTTTCTTACAGGCTCACATGACAACACTGCTCATGACTAATGGTTACTGAGTTTATATATTAGTACTGACATACAAAGTGGGAGTGCTAAGCATTCCAAAGTGGTTGTGGTCTTCATTAAGAAAACAAAATGGAATGGATTGAAGTCAGTTGGCATGTGTTTCCAGTACTTCCATTGTGTAAATTGTGCACATGCAACTTTTTCTGACAGGTTCACAATCAGGTCTTCAGCTGAGCGAACAGGTCGTATGAAGTGTTGATTCTTTATCACAAGAAAAACATAAGACCCATAAAGAAAACTGTTATATCCCACACTGCAGATAATGAACATATACATTTAACTTTCATCTTCGGTATTCATGACAGAAAAAAAAATTAATATGGAACAGTTATTGCCATGTGTTACCTCACCTTTGGGTTAATGTTTACTGTAGCATCATACCAATTGTTGTGCCAGTGGTTTCAGACATTTATTTGTGACCTCCTGGCAAAAGGCCAAACACCTGTGTAATGATAGTAAGATGACAAGAGTCGAGGAATGCGTGTAGGATATTGGTGGGAAAGCCAGAAGGAAAGAGACCACAGAGAAGACCAAGGCATAGGTGGGTGGACAATATTAGAATGGATCTTAGAGAGATAGGATGGGATGGTATGGATTGGATAGATCTGGCTCAGGATATGGACGAGTTGAGGGCTCTTGTGAACACGGTAATGAACCTTCGGGTTCCATAAAATGCTGGGAAATTCTTGAGTAGCTGCAGAATTGGCGGCTCCTCCAGAAGGGCTCAGCTCCATGAGTAAGTAAGTAAGTAAGTAAGTAAGTAAAAATGTATTTAGTTCAAGTTTGGCACTTTTTACAGACTAAGTTCGTCTTAAAATTATCTACATGTTCTAAGTTAATTCTTGATGAACTACTGGAGAACTCAGAAATGAACTCTTAATAAAAGGTGAGTTCCGTCTTCTGGGATATATTATGTAGTCCATTGAACATCAATGGACATTTTAATGGAACATGTTCCCTCCATCTTCAGGGTTTAAGAGCACACCGAGGAAGTAAGCAGCATGAAGCATGCAGGAAGTGAAGGCTTTGAGACTGAGGTTTTACTAAGAGTGATTTCGTCTTCATGTAAATGGGACATGAAATTTTCAGGTTACACATGGTATTAGTCCACAGTGATTTTATGATTTTAATTATGAATATTGTTATTGTCATGTGTCTGGGGTTCTGTGACAAATAATTGTGGATCCTGGATTATACGAAGCTGTTTTATTGGATCACTCGTTCACAGTTATGATTACAGTCACTCTAAAATAGCGTCTTCCAGATGATGCAATCTGACTAGTCTGTTTTGTCTCACATGTTTCGTCTCCTGGTTCTTGGCTGAGCTGGTTTCTCCTCTGATCTCAGCTCTGCTCTGTTCACCACAGATCTGATCTCTGATCTTCCCTAATCTCATCTCCACTCTGGTCTTCTCTGATCTCTTCTGTCCTGTGCTCTGTTTGGTCTCTTTATCTTCTACAGTCGGACAGAGTAGAAGACACATTGAAGGGTATTTGTTGCAGCAGGAACTGCAGTAGCTCTGGCCTTCATTCCCGTGGTAACATCTGCCAAGGTACATGTTGCACTTACATGTTTACAGTTGCCACCTAGACAAAGGCGTATTCACTGTTCCTTGTTGTATGGGAAACATAATTACTGAGCCATTGTATAGCAATGGATGCCTGCTCAGAAATTCTGGCTTTTAGGCAGCATGCCACATTATATATAAAACCATCACATGTGAGATTTCACCTGATGTTTTAACTCTTCCAATGTAGCTATTAATAATAATAATAATTTATTAAGTCCTACATGGGAGGTGTTTGGGATGAAACGAGATGCTGAAGAAGGTTGTGCCAATTTGATATGAATCCATTCCAGAACTGTAACTTGTGACTTGTCACAAACTGTTTATGGGGAGGTACCTTATACTTTTATACTGTATAATTTTGATCACTGTTACTGGATAGCATGAGGAGGTGAGGCAGTAGTCTTCCCATTATGACTCCATTCCATCGTATCTTGCCAGTCATAGCTGTGATATCATGTTTCAAAACCAAAGCAACAAATGTTCTTGATAGTTATAACCTTTTGTGGTTCACTTTTAAAATGAATATATTCACTTCATATTAGCCTGTTTTTTGGCAAGGTAAAAGCCTTGTTCTCTAGTAGTTCAATTAAATGAACTCCTAAACAATTTGCATGTGAACCACAAACACCAGGCAGCCATCAGGAGATTTGAACAGACTGACATAGAAGTATGTACCTTTGTGTAAATTTTATTTACTTTGAGAAATAGTTTGGATTATAGTTCAAGGATTCACACTCTAAGGGCATTGTTAAGTTTTATATTGTTTTAAACATTGTTCATTAAATACTGAAGATATTTGTCTATGCTTTCTTCATTCTTCCGGACAGCATCTTGTCACAGACAGTGCTATTATTCCTGGATAAGTCTCAGCCGCATGTTTTGAACTAGCTGTGTAAACAGTTACATTTAGCAGCCACCAAGAGCCCTTCCTTACTAAAGCTTCAGCGTATCACGTTTACTGTACATCTTTACTTGCTGTGGGACGACTCATGTTTGTGTGCAGTATCAGAGAGTCAAGAAGAGTGTATATGAAGGTAGGATTTGAGGTTCTCAAAGCAGTGACAATAAAGAGCCCATTCCCATGTTACAACATTTTGGAGAGAACCAAGCATATCAGAGAAATGTACCACCTTCATATTCAGGGCTCGACACTGGAGATAGAGGCAATACATTCCTCTGAAACGTCAGCCTATTTCCAAATTACACAGCATTATAATCCATAAGAGGTGCTCTCCATAGTCAATCAGTGAATAACTTGTAAATTTTTATGTATTCTCTTGTACACATTTTATTCTTCAGCAGAGACTGCATAAGATGTCAGAATTACTGGGTTTTTGGACTTTGTCCATTGTCCAATAATTGAGGTTAGCTGTTTCTAAGGGAGTAGGTGTCTCCCCCTCACCTGAGGATGGAAACAGATCCCGTTCCTGAAACACTGTGTTCTCTAGTTTTTAGATGGGCAAAGCCGAAAAACCTAGTAAAACCATCATCAGAACTCTTTAGAATCTGTGTAGGATGCGTAGAACGTTCTCTGTGAGTCATGTTCAGAATGTGTGTTCATACTGAAGGGTTACAAACATTCGTGTATAGTACATACATATTTCTGCAAGTCTTTCCATCCTGCCTGTATAGTGAAAATCCATTATACTAATTTCATCAAATCTCAAACATGTACCACTTAAACACACTGTTTGTGACAGCGTATTATCTAAGTTATATTGCCATGTATATAAAATCTGTGCACATATCAGATGCAACATTTGTTTCTTGGTCTCTTAAAAATAAAATTTCACCTTATCGGCGGAACAAAATTTTGACATTTCCAGGCCCTGCACAGTATGAGTTATGCCTGATATTCTTCCTTGTGACTCATAGAAGTGTGTTGATCCTGGTTTCTTTCTCCCTTCTGCAGTAGAACACTCATTTTGTCCTTGAAGAAAAGTGACAAATTTGCTCAGCCTGTTCTTCAGAACAATGTGCATTTAATTAAGAAAAAGTTTATTAGAGGGCTTTTATAATTATGTACATTTGAAAAAAATATTTTATATTTGTGATAACATTTTTACATCATTTACCATGCAGCGCCATGTTGTTATCTGTGAGATTATTGTACTGGTGGTTTGTAATGTGAGATAATAAATCTTTCATTTGTTACCTGTGCCTTTTCTAAAGTAAGTCAATACAGATGAAGGAAGGCATCAGAACTGGGGTGGAGGAGAAAACTAATGGGAGTGATGGGGCACTGACATGCAGTTTTCATGATATATCAATTTTCATTTCATTTTTATTTGGCATTCATAATTGCTACAACAGTAACACTTGAACAAGTCACATCATTAAATACACCATTCTTTAAATCCTTTTGTCCAAATGCCTAAAGGATTGGAATTTGTCAACAATATATAATAACGCTCGACATGGTTAACCTATAATTAAAATATAAAACACACTATCAAACCAGGTAAATAATCAAATTAGGTACAATATGTAAATCAAAATGGAAGATCCAGTTCCATATACATGGAGCTATGGCTATGATTTTTTTTAGGTTAATTTCACAATCCTGTTACATTCATCACACATGAATGCATATCCAACTATAGAAAATTATGCTGGAAACAAATACTCTCATATCAACACTGTGTATGTGATTGTTTTTAAACTGCAGCTGTAGATCATATGCCAACGGGACTTGTTAATATTAATATAAGGACTTCCTTCATTCTTGTAAAACTTTCAATGTGACATGGAGTTCCTTGGGTAGGGTTGTGACTTTTGGCTTCTCAAGGACTGCTCCCCATAGAAGTTACGACTAGTCCTGCTATGAGCTGGGTATTAGACAAGCAAAAAGAATGCTTGCTTTGGAAGCTTCGTAGAATGACCACTTAAAAAGAGTGATATGGTGGTAGCAGAATGTTGAAATCAGCCACTTCCTTTCAACTTGCTCATAAACTGACCAAATTCCACAACTTTAACAATGAAAATAGCATGTTCCTTTAAAACATCTCTATTTGCCCACAAACTTAATTCAAATGGATGTTATGAAAATGGTCAAGTGACGGAATTGGAATGAATCAAGACTTGGCCTGTGGCAGGTGCTGAGTTATTACTAGGGACCGGATTTTTATGCCCTAATAATCCCTTAAATATGTATGCATTTATGCAATAAAAACTTCCGAAATATGCATATAAAAATGTATACAAAATATTAAAATTGATTTTACATTATTTTAAGACTAACAAATCAATATTTAAGTTCATTTTATGTAATCACTGAATGGTTCATTTGCAATAAAAAGCTATACTTAAATACAAATCATGGAACAAAGCTAACATATTTCATTACAAATTAAAAAAAAAAAAAACCAACGGTACTCACATTTAGCTCTCCGAACTTTCAACTTCTCTTTTGTTGCAGTTCACAATTACTAAATGTTCTAGGTTTTCCATAGTTAGTCGCCTCCTATTGTCTCGTAAGATGTCCTTATAGCAGGAAAAACTTCTTTCCACCTCACAGGAACTTAGCGACGCATGTACAAAAGCCGCTATTTGCTCCACTGTTAGTGATCTTTTACTTCGCAGTTCAGTACGTTTACCGGCTAAAGTTTCTTCAATTTCACAAATTTGTTCACATCCTGGATTTTTTGAAAGAATGCTGTGTACTTTTTCCTTTACTACTTCACCGACTCTTCCAGGAACCGAATTCAATTTGGAAACAGTGGTTCTGAACAAACTTAACGACTGATACAAAGATACTGCTATTGCTTGCCTCCAGTGAGGAAATGGCGGATGGAAGATGAGAGAAGTGAACAGATATGTAGGAAAGATTAGTTTCTAGTTCTGCGTTTTTTAGTACATCTTGGGCAATTTGAATTGATGCTGCACTTTTGGGATCAAATGTATTCACAACATTCCTAACTGTTTCTAAATGTTCGGTATAATAACTCGCTGCACACAGCCACGTGCCCCAGCGCGTTAAAATTCGTTCTGGCGGAAGTGGAACGCTCGGTGCTTCTGCTTTGAAGGCGCTTTAACAAATACGTTCTTCACAGAAGACAGCAACTTGTCAACAAGATGAAAATTTGCACGAATTGTTTCTGCAACACGGGGCAACCCATGGGCAAGGCAAGTCAAATGTGTCATGTTTGGAAATATAACTTTAAGAGCAGTACCGGCTTTCATCATATAACTTGCGGCATCAGTCACAAAGAGCAATACGCGCTCATACTGAATGCCATTCGGCCATAGTAAATTCATGGAATTGATAAAAAAATCCGGAAACTGCGGAGCTATTTGTGGTTTTAAATTGCTCTACCGTAAGAAGATATGGGGTAGATTGTTTATTCTTATTACGGGATCCAACTATACAATTTGCAATAAACCGTCCCTCACAATCTTGTGTTTCGTCGATTGATACCCACACAAAATTATCTTGAATCTTATCTCTAATGCTATCAACTGTAAGATCGTAACACTGCTTCACGTAATTTTTGCGCACAGTAGATTCATCCGGCACTTTGCACTGTGTATACTTCTCTATGAAGTTTCTCAGAGTA